AAAAATAAGACGTTATTGCCCGAGGTCGCGATATGTCCCTACGCAGTCAATATTTGGTAAAAGAAAATAAAAATATTGGATTGACGACTTCAGACATTTAAGGAAAACAGCACATCTGTATAAAGCCGTCGCAATTAAATCTCAATTTTAATTGTTTGTGACCAAACGGGCGCATAATCCAAGGTGCCTTCTGCGTTATGTTCTTAACCTTTACTAAAACGAAGGTTCGTCTTAATTAAACACAATCAAACAATTTTCTACAACAAATCGTTTTTGTTTTTATGCCCCACGACTCAGACCTTTTATTATTGAAATCGTAATAAATGCGTCGCAATAATAAGTGTGTTGCGACTTGGTCTATAAAAGTGGTGGTGAAGTGTAAAAATGATTTTATTGTTCAATTGAATTCATAACAAAATGGCGGACAAATTGAGCGTTATTGCTAGATTGATGCTCTTGCTCGTTAGAGTAAATAGTTGAAAATGAAACAATATGTCAAACTAAGGAAAGGCGATGTGGTACGAAGCAGAAGAATCTGCTTGTTAAAGAAATACATCATAATATGTATATGTAAGTACGTGAATTTCCTGTCACAATATATAGAAACTGATTGAACTATGGCCGTTTGAACTGATTTGTACAGTTTAAAATATCGGATTGAACTCTCAATAAAGTACTCAGTTTAGAGTGTTTACAGGGATTCAAGAAAGTAGAAAATTAGGATCACAATTATCTTCGCGTTTGGTACTTACTCTATTTTTAGGTGCACTGTAAGATTAGTTAATGTTCACTATCTATGTTTTTTTAAATTAAATATTTGGCTCAATTTTTTTTCAGTTACATTGCAAAAGCTTTAAGGTACGTATACTTTATCGCAAGAACGAGAGGTAAGACCTTCCGCAGAAAAGTTAATATCCGAGAATATGATATCTTTATTTTATGACTATTTAACTGTTTAATCTAAAGAAAATTTTAGTAGAAAAAAAACCACCCGTTTCAGATAGAATTTTGACCCGCTATCCGGGCGGATATACTTCCTTCACAATTTTCCCTTAGTATTTCTTATGTTGCAAGGCCGCCCCGATAGCGGAAGATGCGAGTTCCTATCCCTTCTGAAATCTGGTGTGAGAGGATTTTTGCTACACTAAAGATAGAGATAACTTGCAGACCATCAACTGCAAAACTTCAGTGTAGCAAAAAGCAAGTTGTAAAGCTTTATCTCTATAGACCTAAAGACTGCGGAAACCATTTAGAAGCAAGAACCACGCCAATTAAACTACAAATCCGCCAAAAACATCCATTAAATTAATGTGTGAAAAAAGGATCAGGTCACTCCTTATATCAAATGGATAAATTGTATGTAGGTACCACAATTACACATGTGATAAAATCGAGCAATCGCCCGTTCGCTTTGATTAGTAGTCAATTAGGCGTTCCCATAACAGCATCAATAAAAGTATTTCGGTGATTTGGATGTATTTTGTTGTAATCAATTTTTGACGTCGGCGTTCGTTTGTGGCGGGTTTTATTGGCGTACCGAATTTAGTGAGGTCGATGTAGAACGCTCACCGGAGTTGGGTTCCTCCCGCGCTGTGAGGACCGATGGATCTATGATAGATCTAGTTTTTTCTTTGAAGGCAATTGAGGAAAATCTAAGGTCACGGGTCACATCTGACCTATCAACAAATAGGTCAGATAAGGGAAACTCAATCGACAATAAGTAGTACTGTACCCTTGGCACGAACCAAAATCGATTTCGAATAGTTGGTGTATGCGACATTTCAATGTCATATTTTGTATGAAAACTTGAACAGCAGCGCCACAACGGACGTAACGAGAACTAAATCAGTGCACATTAGATAATGACATTTCGTACTTGCAAACGTTACGAATTCGATATTGGTTCGTGCTAAGGGTACAGGTCACATATCTCTCCTTTGTGGATTATCTAATTGTTATTATGTAACTATAATGGGTAACGATAATTTCGTACGCAGTTTAACAAATTATACAGCAACATTTAATTTAAAGGAATCGACGTAGGCTTTTTACATTTCAAGCTACAAAGCTTGTAGAACATAAAACAAAATATCCTATCTCATTAAATTAACAAATTACAGAAACATTTGCTAAATGACGAAATTACTTTAGGAATGTTCGCCAAAATATGATGGCATTATGCAGTTAACAGTAATCACCTATCGATCCTTGCACGTGAACAGAAGCTGTGTAATAAATCGTACGGAACCTAAAGCGGCGTAGCTTATGGCGCTCCATTGCGGGCGTGTCGAAAGGCCATCCCAAGAAGCCGAAAGGCGCGGTGCCGGTTGGAAATTTTATAGTTTATAATTACGAGTGATTGCCGCGCCCGGCCGCGCCGTGACCCGCTCGATTCGCTCGCTCGCCGATCTCTGTTAGGCTCAGAACACGTTGAGCGGTTTCCAGCCGCAACCACCGCTGTTTTATTTTCAATATTTGTGATATTTTAATCGCGGTATGAGTGGTAATTCTATGGAGGTTGATCAAGTTAACTTGCGACTTAATGAAAAAATAGAGGATATCAGCAAATTCTTCGTGGAATTAGTGACTAAGTTTTAGATACTTCTTGGACGGTACGGACTTGGCGGATAGAGGCTAGGCGAAAAATAGTGTAAGATTTTCCGTTGTTTCGTAGCGTAAAGTGTGTTATTGTGTTTTTATACTTATGTTTATATTTTAACCTTTTTTCTAACCGAATGGTGAATTCACTCATTGTTTTTTTTTATATTCGACGTTTTATTCGAAGTATTCGACGTCCCCTGTCTAGTGGTGAGCAAATCCAATGCACTTTACCGACCGGCTTGTAAAGTGTTTCACTATTAGGAAGTGCTTATTTTCATACTTCAGTCGTAAAAATAAGGAGGCTCGAAATCGCTACATTACCCTTACCACGAACCAATATCGAATTGGAATACTTTGCGAGTGCGAATTGTCATTGTCAAATGTATACTGATTTTTAGCTCTCGTCACGTCATGTTATGACGCTGCTGTTCAAGTTTCCATACAAAATTTGACAATGACATTTCGCACTCGCAAACTATTCCAATTCGATATAAGTTCATGCTAAGGGTAAGGGTTTTTACGACTGAAGTATGAAAATTATCACTTTTGGGTAAAAATTAACATATTTTTTTCTAAAACTACCTGCTTAATCTCTATAAATATTGTAATGTGAATTTCGTATGTAATTTTTTTTTGGGATACCGTGGTGTTTCAAGTGTTATTGTGTATGATTTGTTCTCTGTAAATTGTTTTCTGGAAAACTATTGTAATAGTTTCACGCAAGTGAATTTTATGTAAATTCTTGTGTTTTTTTTAATAAATTTCTTAAACCACAAAATCGTTATGTGAGTTCTGAGCCTTCGGCGGTACCAGCAACGCGATTTTCCCACTGGCGCGTCGGTTGTGCGGTTGCAATGTTGATTCTCTTATGTTTTGCCTCTAATTCAACGTGACCGTCGATCAAATTCAACATTGTTTTATTTCGGACGTTCCGTTTTATTGACACCGTCTTTTGTTTACGCAGAACGATAATTTGCAAATGGTTGTGGTTTAATTTTCAATTATAGGTACTCGCGACCAGTTTAAATTTTAGTGTTTTATAAATGTTTTACAGTAGATTTCTCTTAAATTAAACCGTTAAGACAGTGGATTTAAGTATATTGAAAATTCATGCTTGGGCCTACGGTCCACGCCGGGTTTCAGTGGACTCAAACCTGCGCACAGTTGCTGTCACTGCTCACTTCACAGCCACCGTAAAGTTTTAATCGCACTATATGAGTCTCGCATTTTCATAAGAATAAAAAAAAGGCTAGAGTGGAGAAGAAACCGACCTCTTTTGTAAGGTTTTGGTTTTTTAATAAGATTTCTCTTTTCGATGCGTTTGAATTTCGACCACAGACGCGACAACGCGACGCTACGATTTCCGCTGCTGCGGAAGATTGATATTCATTTTGCATTTAATTTGTGTATTTAGCAGTTGTAAGTCATTATATTTATTCATCAGTTTTATAGCAAAATTCGGCTTTTAAAATGCGAATACCCTAGATAAAAGCGACAGCCGACCTGCAAGCCCGCCTATGTATCCTGTAGCCCTAGCACGAACCAACCAATCGAATTCGAATAGTTTGCAAACCGAAATGACAATGTCAAATTTTGTATGGACACTTGAACAGCAGCGGCACAAAGTACGCAACGAGAACTAAAAATCAGTACACATTTGACAATGACATTTCGGACTCGCAAACGATACGAATTCGATATTGGTTCATGCTAAGGGTACTGGTCTAATGGAGCCAGTCTCGTAGAACCTAGTCAGTATCTTGGAGACGAAGCCGTGGGAGACCAGCAGACACCGCAAAGTTTGAATCGTACTATAATATGCGTCTCGTATTTTCATAACAATAAAAAAAGGATAATGTAGGCGAGTGACCGACCTCTTTGGTAAGGTTTGTTTTTGATAAAATTTATTTCCGATGCGTTTAAATTTCGAACGCAGATGTGACGTCGAGACGTGACGGTACGATCTTATAGATTTTCATTTCCCATATTTTTTTGTATTTAGCAATTTTAATTATATTTTTCCAGATTTTTTATATAAAATTATGTGATTTAATTACGCGAGGAGCTCAATGGCTCCAGTGATTAGCGCGTCCGGCTTCGGTCGTTGAATTTGAGCAACTTTCGCAGTGGTCGGTCATTGGATGAGTGACCAAAAATTTACTATCTCGAGCTCCTCCGTGCTTCGGAAGGCACGTTAAGCCATTGGTCCCGGCTGCATCTGCAGTCGTTAGCACCCACCAACACGCACTGGGCCCGCGTGGTGGGTCATGGCCCAATCTCCCTAACCCATCCATAGGGAAGGCCTGTGCCCCAGCAGTGGGGACATTAATAGGCTGATGATAAATGATGATTTAATTACTAGTTTATTATTTCACCGCCTACAGATAGCGTCAGCTCACCTTAGTTTTACTCCCGCCTATGGATCCAGGTCTAATGGAGCCAGTCTCGTAGAACCTAGTCAGTATCTTGGAGACGCAGCCATGGGAGACCAGCAGCTGCCGGCTGATATCGCACGGCCGCACCCCCATGATGGCCAGTTCGACGATCCTCTTACGGACTACGTCGGGGAGGGGTCGGCCGTTGACGAACACGCCTCCGAGTTGGTTCACGCCCGCTTGCCCTGTACGAAAATAGAATAAATAATAATTTATAAATATTTCCAACACACACCAATTAGCCTAGCCCCAAAGTAAGCACTGTGAAGTTTATGTTATGGGATACTAGGGTAACGGATAGAATACGTATACATATATATATATATATATATATATATATATATATACAGGGTGTTAGAAAAATACAAATAAATCTAGAAGGGTGTTGAAGTACATCATATAAGGAGTCTTCTTTAATTTTCTTGAAATATTTGCATGTAGTTTTAACTTTTTATAAAAACAGTTATTCTTAATGATCTTCGAACTAGTGACGTGTCTTATGGTAGCCATACACACTACGAGAAATCGTTACGATTAGACTGTACCGTCCGAACGGTACCGATAAATCATAGCGTGTATGTTATAAATCTGCACAGTTTCCTATACGTACGCCACGTACGATAAACTGTTCCGTTCGAACTGTTCAGTCTGATCGTAACGATTTCTCGTAGTGTGTATGGCTACTATTAAAATGATCATATTTTATTAATTATTATAAATAACTGTTTTTATAAAAAAAATAAAACTTCATGCAAATATTTTAAGAGAAAAATATTTAAGACTCCTTATATGATGTACTTCAACGCCCTTTAAGCTTTATTTGTATTTTTGTAACATCCTGTATAAGTATATTTAATACATATTATACATCCATGACTGGAGTATATATGCTCGTATTCATCACACAAACATCTGCCCCCACCGGGATTCGAACCCGGTACCTCTTGAGTAGGTGACACCATGAAACCCGGCGTACATACCACGCGGCCACGGAGGTCGTCAAATGTGATAAGACTCTGTTTGTTGATGGTTCAGTACAATAAAGAAAATATAAAAATGGTAGCTGATGTGATGTTAGTCCAATAGACCATCTTATCGCTGAGAATTCAGATTATAGAACGAAATCTTATAGCAGTGAACTCAGATTATAGATACAAAACTTGGGAGAGGTGTCGATTCTGGCGTGATTCTCTTAACTTAAAACTAAATTTAACATCAGTCTCTCCTTTTCATTCTGTATAGAGAATGACAAGCATACCGTGTTGACAAATTTAAGTTTAGGTTTAGTTTAGAATCGGGTCAGAACTGACACCATTGAGTTCTTTTCAAGTTCTTTAAAACAACCTATTGTATAATTTAAAGAAAGCAGATTAAACAGCGGAGTATATGTACAGTTAAAAGAAATACACATAAACAGCTTCCAGCCAAATGTATATTACATAAAGAAAACTATTCAAATTATATTAATAAAGCTACAGTTCTAGCTTATCAAAAGTTACATACAACCTCATATAGAAAAAAAAAACATTTAAAATTATTGTTATTTTTACTTAAAATTATCAGGCTACCACTGAACTAACGATGCGTGTTGAAAAGGTTTAATTTTTTATTAACAATTTAAAATGTAATGCGTACATGTTAAAACTAAGAGAAAACATTTGTGTAAGTCAAAAATCTGCAATAAGTTCCATACAGTCTCATTTGGAAAACAATTCTGTTAATTTTAATAAGTAATATTTTTATAATGAAAATATTCTAAGATATATATAACACAATAAAACTAAAAACCTTAAAAATTAAATAAGAATATTTTCATTATATTAGATATTCCATTTTCAAAAATAATATTTTTTAAATGTAGAATATCACATATTCACAGTTTTTCATTGTAAGTGAATAAATTTCAGCCAAAACTTAACACATCAATCACGGAGTAAATCGAAATCTGATCATATTCGACAAAATGTTGATTTCATTTATATTTCTGTCATTCGAAGTCAGTAATTACCAACACACTTACCAAATGAGTAATTCCACATCGAATCATATGAGACACACGATGAGTTATATCAGCAACCGTCCCCTAGCACCTGCCCACACATTTAAGGCTAATATTTATTTGATTGCCAAATTCCCTCGCCCTACTCGGCAATGACAATTATAAAAAAAACTAAGTAGTTTTTTCTTCTCCAGATTATGATGTCCGAGTGTAAGAATTTATTGTATTCTTCCCTCATTAAGGGGAAAATACACAGATGGTTGCAGATTACTTGGAACACCTTTAAGTCTTTGCAGTAAAAGTGACTTTGTTACAAGAAATTTAAAGTTACGTTCGATATAGGCATACTAAACGACACTAACAAGAAGAAATATTTTTGTTCTGTTAATGACGTTGTTATAGTTTTTCACGTTTTAGTTGTGTTTAGGAATGTTGCCTAGTATTTTAAACAGAAATAATTTGACGTGGAAGTATGAATTGGGTCAACATGCATTAACGGTGTCACTTAGGTACTAATAAAATAATAATATTTGTCATCAATATCATATTCGTATGTGTATGTATTTATTCATTATATATGTACTTGTATATATAAACCTATACATGTAGTTTCCATATTTATTAGTATTAACATGTATTTTATATTCAGGTGTACACGCTGACTATCTTTTCTTATATTGTTTGCTACTACGCGCCTACTGTAAGAAATTTCAGATTGAAATAAGTTGTGCCCTTGTACATGTTATCTATAATTAAGTTGCTCCTGTATTATTTTTTGTGTGTACAGAATATATAAATAAATAAAATAAGAAAATTCTTTTCGGACGGGGTATAAATGGGAAAATCCTATGGGAAAGATGAAACGGAAATGTTTCACGAGCGACACTTGAGTATATGTGAGTGTGGGATGTGGGCGCAGCTCTTCCGGACGAGCATGAAAGTTGGAGGGTAACTCGGCGAAGGCTGAAACGCTACGAGTGTCACGAGCATCACACGCGACAATATATACATATTTATTTATTTATTCAATAAACATGCTGATTTACAGAACTAGTTCCAATGCATCAGCAGGTCATATTAATTCAAATTATAAATAAAATACAAATTATACATTACAATAAATACAAATTTAAATTAATAAATACAATAACATTAATTGAAACTAACACATAGTAGCAGGTCACATTAATTAAAATCTATATATATAAAAATGAAACCCGTTTTCCGTTGTCACGACATAACATGAAAACGGCTTGACCGATTTGGCTGATTTTTTTTTTAGAATATTCCTTGAAGTACGAGGATGGTTCTTACGAAGAGAAAAATTAAAAAAAATGCCTGAAAATGTCAAAAACTAAACTTTTCTTTACTCCCATACAAACGATTCGTAATAATACTTAAAAGTCAATTTGAACTTTAATACCATACCATAAATTTCAAATGTTAGTGGAGAGATTCTGGGAAGGCAAAACAATTGAGCGACGTGATGTCAATAGAAGTTTGGAAAAGATAAATATACCATCTTCAGTTTTTTTATAATCTATATATATAAAACTCAAAGGTGACTGACTGACGTAGTAATCTATCAACGCCCAGCCCAAACCACTGGACGGATCGGGCTGAAATTTGGCATGCAGGTAGATGTTATGACGTAGGCATCCGCTAAGAAAGGATTTTGATCAATTCTACCCCCAAGGGGATAAAATAAGGAATGAAAGTTTGTATGAAACTTTGTCAATTTTAAAACCGAACGGGCTGAGACTTTGCATGCAGGTATAAGAATAATCATAGATGAATGTCATTGTGTATAAAACAAGCCTGAGAACAAAAACTGTAGTCTACGCTTCAGATCTACACCGAAGCGAAGCGAGGGCGGGCCGCTAGTTATAAATAAAATAAAAATTATACATTACAATAAAATAAAAATAATAATTAATAAATACAATAAAATTAATTGAAACTAACGCATCAGCAGGTCACATTAATTAAAATTATAAATTAAAAACAAATTATACATAACAATAAAATCAAAATTAAATTAATAAATATACTAAAATTAATTGAATTTAGTCCAATGTCAATATTTACTAACTAGACATTTACAACCTTCTTTAATAATATGTTTAAAATGGTCGGCATATACATCTATTTGGTCGCACTGAGCGAGCACGCTGTCTATCAAGCGAAGTACGCGCGGGGTGGGTGCATGCGCAGCGTGTAAGGTCCGTGTGTCGGGCACTTGGAAGCATCACTCATATACATATATACTCGTATGAGTGATGCGTGTGCTGCTCCATTCCCCTATGCCTTATTCAGATGTGTGGTCCGTGCACACTATTTTTTTAACCGCCCGCTTAAGATGGACGAAAATTTTTTTTTGATCATGTATTATAGTTTCACCTAAATTATTAACAAAGGATTATACAATTCAACTGCAAGTGCTGCTGTGTATTCTTATAAATGGCTCAAAAGTTGCAGCTAAATTATAAGTAGTGCTGTGTTCCTGTAGTAATAGATTGTAGTAATGTAGATTGAGGTGCCAATTGTGATGGTGAGTGCGGCTGGTACAGCAGCGGCCATCTTTGAAATCGGACTCAAAATTAGTTCGATTAGTTTAGTTAGATTAAAAGCAGATGAGGTGCAGTCCTTTCTCAAACCACAAATAAAACCATTGAAAATATCCCCTGATGCAATAGTTGCATTCTCTAGTTCCATTGTCCACTTAAAATTTTGTACTTTTTATGGTAGCCATACACACTACGAGAAATTGTTACGATTAGACTGTACCGTCCGAACGGTACCGATAAATCGTAGCGTGTATGTTATAAAAGTGCTGTACAGTCTGATCGTAACGATTTCTCGTAGTGTGTATGGCTACCATTACTGCGAGTGACGTTAACTTCATGGTATTGCATTAAATAGATTTGTCTGAAATTGTTCACAAGTATAGTCAAAGGACTATCACCTCTGGGAAGTTAGCCCCCTTCTGTTTGAATCTTTATATTATCCAGGTTGTTCTGGATTGTTCTACATTGTTCCAGAGTTGGAAAAAACCAAAAAAAAAACTGTTTTTATGGTAGCCCCCCATGTTTTGTTTGTTCTAAGTTGTTCTAGTTGTTCCCAACATTGGGACTGTAGCCTACAAGTGTGCAGTCTTTTAATATTCGCTCCACGGTCGCACCACGA